CAGCAGCCCATTAGTTGCTTCCCCAGCTTGGCGAGCTCAAAATAAAAATGGAGGGGAGGTTAAGTCTCAGGTTGCAGCCAAAGAAAGTATTTTCCACAAGTTGCATTTGTTTGCGCTAATGGAATAAAATAGTCTTTTCCGGACTCTCACTTGAAACGTGTAAAGGTAAGAGCGCAGTGCTGATAAGGGGGAAGAGAGGAGGATCTTGGAGGAGGGGTTGCTCAGAAAGGGTGTGTATGAGAGTTATAACTGTTGCCCAAAGTGCCACTTGAAGAGTGGCAGGCCTCTTCAGATGCTTTAAACTTACGCTAGTGTAAAACGCTAGTGTCAGCTGTCTGCATTTCACGATCCAGTTTCTACCCAGGGCTTTGGGGCAGATGTATAACTTACCAGGAACAGTCACCTTTTCATTAAAAAAAAATAGTTAAACAGCTGCTGTTAAGCAACTTGACAGGGCAGCTGGGCTTCTGGGAACATCAAGGAAAGCAAAAGGATTCAAATTGTTCAGGGAGCCTTTTCATTTCTAGAAGGGGAGATGAAGGTTAGACAAAGGTTGCAGACAAATGGAGTCAGATTAGCAGGCCAAAGGCTATGAGATATAAATATCTTTTTATGCTATCTTCATTGTTTATTTTGAGCTACTGGCTTCTGAGCCATAGTGAAAGGATTTATTGTATAAGATTTGCAAAACTGTTCTTCTTTTTTCTTTGTTAAATTAAATTAAATGTAAAATTAAAGGAACCATACTCTAATTAGCCATAAACTGCTCCAGAATAGTCTGTTAGTGAATTTCTCAGGTCATTGTAGGAGAGGCATCAGTGATCTGACACGTACATCAGTAGCTTCCTAATATACATCCTGTCATGGCATGTTGCTAAAACTAAGATGTCCTTTCTCCAAAATGTTAATTACTTCCTGATGTTAAATCACTGTTAATGAAAAGTAAGAGTTGGTTGACTAAAATTACCTTTCCCTCTAACAATTTTCAGGCTCTTGCTTCTATGTTGATGCCATCTTCACGGCTCTCCGATCATTATCATGTTTTTCAGGACATTTCCTGGATGGATTTGTAATGTGAAAACATACAGTTAAGAGATCTTTCCAAACTTCTTTATAATATTTAAAACAGAATAAATGGATCCCATTGTTTAAAAACATATTTTTATTTTTCTGCTCACCTTTAAAATCAGTCCTCAGTTTGAGGGGTGGTGGGATACTGTAACACATATGATAAGGCCCTTATTTTATCCTCAGGCAGGACAACTTTCTTCAGATGCTAAGAGCCAAGGCAGAACTTGATTAAAAACAGTGAGAACATTTAAAATGAAGACGGCGGGTGTCACTGAAACGATTGAAACTTTGTTCTCCCCTGTAGTGAAATCCAGAAAGAGGGCTGTCAGCTTAAAAACGGCATTTCTGCTGAAACAGTTTTTAACTTCCTTCTTGCTACAAGCACAACCCAAAGCTTAATAGGACTGAAAGTTATTGGAGGGAGGAAAAAAATCTGTTTTTCCAACTGGGTACTTTGTGTAGTTGTTTATTCTTTGTCACTTTGTTTCCTCTGTTGGTTAGTGGAACTTTCACATAGGAACAAAAGGAGAGAATAATTTAAAAGAGGAAAATGTGACTACAAAACTGCAACTACTGGCAAGGGTGGATGCACTAGCATGTACTTCATTTTTAAACACAAATTACAGAAGAGCTTTCAAGTTACTGAATCATAGAAGTAGGGTTGGAAGGAACCTTGTAGATCTTCAAGTCCGACCCCCTGCCTGGGCAGGAGGAAAACGGCTCAATTGACCCCAGCCAGGTAGGCATCGAGCTGCTTCTTAAAGACCCCCAGGGTAGGAGCCAGCACCACTTCCCTTGGAAGTTGGTTCCAGATCCTAGCCGCCCTAACTGTGAAGTAGTTCCTATGGATGTCTAATCTAAACCTACTCTCCAACAATTTGTGGCCGTTATTCCTTGTTATCCCGGGGGGGCGCTAGGGGAAACAAGGTCTCCAAACCCTTAATACCCTACTGGTATTTCTTTAAAATGTCTTAAATGAATAAGATTTGTTTTTAGCTATGAAAGTGTACTTTTAAGCCCTCTGAAGTTGAGAGGAATCTTTCTTTAGCTTCATTGGGCTTTCAGTAAGGTTTTAAGATGGGTTTAGAAAGTAGCTGTCCAAATAATTTTTGAAACACTCTTCTGAAAACACTCAAAAATTGCTTGCTGCTATTTTTATCCAAACAATTTGACTCTGAAAATATAATTTTCTTTTTTGCTGGACACTAAAATAATCTGAATGACAATGGCCTGCCAAATTATTTTTGTTAAGCCTTTCTATGAAACAAAGATATAATTAAAAACAGAGGAAAAAATCATCACTTTGTATGACTGAGTAAATTTAGGTTGTGCCTAATAATCTCTCACTGTTAGAGGCTGGGCTTTTGAATGTCGGATTTCATTCTAATACAGATGTAACTGATTTTTAAGCTCTTGGAAAATAGACAAAGTATTAAAAAATGGCAACTTACTTATCTAGGCTGTTTTGAGTACTGCTTTTAGTAAGAATTGCTCTGTTGGCTGCATTTTCAGATAAAGGCTTGTACACTGTAGTTGTTTCTAATTTAATGGCACACCCAAGTGGCAAAGAAGTGTAGATGCCTCTAGATCAGCAGCGAGAACTCTGCATCTGGGAACCTTTATACTGTCGTGTTGCCAACAAATGAGAATTCTGCTGGTTAAGCAAGTGTTCTTCTGCCAGCTGCTAAAGAAAGCGTTGTGAGATGCATTAACTCTGAGTGTGGTTTCATGATTAGAAAATGAGACTGGAAATTGGGAGGTCTGGATTTTGTTTCCAGCACTGCCACAGAATTGCTTTCTGACTTTGTACAAATACATTAAGATTTGATCCTGAAAGATCTGCAGCTCCTCCTTCTGGTGCAGAGGATATTCAAACGATATACATCTTCACCCTTGGGAGTGAATACAATGTGGTATTTTTAAGGTTTGTTTTTTAAATAAAAGCAAATTTGGCCAATCCTAGTCGAAGAAAGAGCTGCCTGTTATTTTAGAAAGAATTTAGTGCTAGCCAGTTGAATCCCCAATTTACATAAAGTTATACACTCAATGTATAATTCTTTTCATTTGTCATTTATAGGAAATGTGACTATGAAGGGTTTCTGTGTTCTCTACTGTTGCCTGCAGAATCTCGCACTTCTGCTTTTGCACTGAAAGCCTTTAATGTGGAACTGGCTCAGGCAGGTATTAAAATATGTTTGTGCAGGATTGAAATAGAAAGTAAGAAGTTCAAGACTCTTAAACTGTGCTACAGAGAAGTGTTATATGCTGTGATTAAAGTTTCATGTTGCAAAGGGTAATGACCAAATACTCCAACATAAACCTCCAACTCCAAATGCCCCTGGAGAGAGACTGTGGGTGCTTGGAATCTGTGCTTGGTTTTGAACTGTGCAGCTGCCTCTGATCTGTAAAGGGTCAAACCAAAAATCTTGAGGATAGGTTTGTTCCCAGCTTGGCAGAGACTAAGTAACAACAAATCTGCCAGGAGAGAAGTTTGCAATTAAATAAATAATAAAAAAGAGTTGTTGTAGTCTCTCTGCAATGTGGCCAGAGCCCACAAGAGTGAGTAATGCTTGCCAGAAAGACCCAACTAGAAAAGCCAAGGGGATGTGTTGATTAAGTACAATTCCATGTTGGGCTTTACTGCCTGGTCTCTTGGCAAATGGGTGGTAGAATTTAATGCTGCCCTTGCTAAAATAGAAGTGGGAACCTTGCCTGTTCTGTGAGGTTGATGTCCCTCTGGGCTGAGTGGCAGACTTCTGTGTAAGCAGAACTGGGCCAGGACATAAATTTTGTAGATTTGAAATCCAGATCCAGATTTTATGGCTCAACCTCATCTCATGTAATAAGGAGAAAAATTTAGGAATCAGAAGAATGACATGTTGAACCCTTGAAATGTGTATTTTGTATCAGGCTACAGCAGGGGCGGGCAATTACTTTGGGTGGAGGGCTGCTTACTGAGTTTTGGCAAGCTGTCAAGGGCCGTGTGAAAGGCAGCCAGGGGCAGATAAATATTAATTTTCTAAATTTTTTAGGGGCTCTGTGGGCTGGATAGAAGGGCCTGGCGGGCTACATCCGGCCGGCGGGCTACATCCGGCCAGCGGGCTGCATTTTGCCCACCCCTGGGCTACAGGCATATAAAACGGGAGTTCGGTAAAGATTACTGCTCTTGAGTGCACATCATCTGGCCCTTTGTGTTTCATATATCAAGTATTTCATGTGTGCTCCTGTCCTACAGTAAATGGAGCAAACTGGGACAGCTTAAACTGGAACAAAATGGCTGCTAATTTGCCATGGTTTAGTTTCTACTTAATGGATAAACACCTGAAACAGCTGCAACAAATCAGCTTGAAAATACTAAATCTTTTCCTGTTGGCTCAGTATAGTTTTACTTGTCTATAATCTCAGTGATTGAAACAACACACAAATCTAAGAATTGGTAAAATAAATACAAGTGTAATACACTTGTCTTTTGAAATTAGTATTTAATAGCTTGTTCAGGTTATTTGGTTTTTTTACACGTGATCTGGTGTTTTGTTAGAGAGTGATGAAACTGAAATGTAAATTAAAAGGTTGCTTTAATGTACAGGAAAATTTGGGTAATATGTTAGCTCCTCTTTGTGAAATATTTCTGTTTCTCTAAGACACTGGCTTTGGGGAACAATTTATCTTCAGCATTAATTACAGTAGTTGTTAAGCTTATTAGAATACCGTACAGCTAGTGAGAGACTGATAATGCCTGTTTAAAAAAAGTCAAATGCCATAACATTAAACTGTAGCATATCCTCTTGAACTGCTTAAACTTAAAATCAACAGTGTCAGGAAATTTAGCTTATAAAACACCTGGAGAAATATTTAAAAACAACACGGCTCACAAGCACTTGACGTGCTACGTTCAGGGGGCAAAATCCCATCTCTGTTGTTTCACCCGCTGAGTTTTGACACTGGCTTCAGAGGGGCCAGGACTTAATTCATGGTGTTTAAGTTCATGCAGAATATTTATGACCTCCATCTTGAGACCTTCCACTTGCAGCTCCAGTTCATTTTCATGGGCTTGAAAATAAGGCTATGTTTAGCTAAAGGTCTGCAGTTCCTATGGTGGAGATCAAGTCAGCATCTTTGGGTAGGCATTTAGAATCTTACAGATGTTGCCTTATAGGAGCTGAGCGGCAAATGATTTAACATTCTGCTTTACACATCAACACAAAAAATTGAAATCTGGCATTGCAGCTTGGCTAGCAGTCTTGTTGATAAGGAATGTCAGTATCAAATTTGTTTTCTGCAGCAGTTGAGATTTGGCCCCAGTTATGAAAGCCTGCAGTGCTTTAGTGACTTCCCATTGGAGTTGTGAAAAAGCACATTTATACATCAGAAAAATTATATGGAATATGTTGTGGGGGGTTCTCCCACATGTTCTGCATAGACTTAAGACTCATTTTGTTGGTGAAAATGATTCTTCTAAATGCCGTGTTTCCAAGCAGGGGCCTTGGGCATTGTTATAGTATAGGTATTGTATGGTAACAACTAAGTGTGTTCCATGGCACAGCAGATTTAGCAGTCAGTAAATGTAGTGGATATGACTTGGAAGATGTTTAAAGACCAAATTTACAGAAAACCAAGCACCATCTTTACTGAATTATTTTTATAAAATCCTTTGTCTGTTTCTTTTGTAATAAGATAAATTCCTCCAGGAGGCAAAAAATTTTGTAATATTTTTATTGGACCCACTGTTTACTTGGGACAGCAGTTGGACAAGTTTTTGGGCATAGAGTGCCCTTGCTAAGGTCTGAACACAAGACTAAAATTTCACATTTTTTTTATATAATACACTTGTTTTCCAGATTAAAGATTCTATAACACAGAAAACTACAGGTTTAATGCGAATGCAGTTTTGGAGGAAAGCTGTGGAAGATATATACTGTGATAACCCACCTCATCAACCGGTTGCTATAGAACTATGGAAAGTAAGATATATGTTCCATTTCCAAAAATCAACTTTAATTATTCTTTTCTTTTTAAAATGTTTGCAGTTTTATATGCATTTTGCTGCCTTCTAGCCCTGTTTTGTATTATACAGATAATGGACAATAGGGATGGGTGGGATACTGAGAACAGTTTAGAAGCCAAAAAGGCAGGGTTGGACACTGTTGAGGCTGATACCTAGGGAGGAGTTACTAGGGAAGTGTAGCTGTTAGTTGGAACACTGTTGATTAGAGAATTTGCCTTCTAGCCACATGAAGGACAAAATCGTTAGCGAAGAGTATAAAATTGGTACGAGTTAGAGTTTTTAAATTAAGTTGCCTGAGCCAGTCCTGTGTAAAAGGAGATTAGGAACTGAAGGAAGACAAATTAGTTTGAGCATAGAGACTAATACAGAAAGTAGAACATGCAAAGAAAAATACAAGAGGCCCACACACTTAACAGCTACAACTATAATGTGCAATATGTGGCTTTTCAAAGTTGTGACTCCCTAATGAGCTGGGTAGGGGATAATGGAACTTGCCCAAAGCATCATTTGTGCTTTGTATGCTGAATTATGTGGAAAGGTATGGTGTGAGTTTGCCTATTGACTTTCATACACCTTCTCCAAGACACCTCTGTGCAACTTTATCCTAGCACTAGAACTCTGCACACCAGCATACCTGCAGTTTAGCACATTCACTGGCTGTGATTGAGGGCATAAAAATCTGTTAATCAAACCTGTCCACTGTAGTTGGGACCCCACTATTTCAGAGGGTAGATGAATGCCTGTACTTCACACAGGTGTAACAGACATTTCATAGATTTCATACACATTAGGGCTGGAAGGGACCTCAGAAGATCATCAAGTCCAGCCCCCTGCCCCAGAGGCAGGAAGTCAGCTGGGATGCTGTCACGCTTCTATATAGCTCTGACTTCCAGCTGGGACAGGTTGTTGTTTTAGGACCAGAGACTGATCCCTAAGACAGATCACAGGGTAACTGTATCAAGATCTGTAAGCTGTGAGACCAGGAAAGAGGCTGCCAGTAACCCTGGCTGTGATGAGGCTCTTTATGCCTCTTCCCATCTAGGAGATATAGCCTCTCTAGATCCAAACAGCTAATCAGGCTGTGGAAAGCCGCATTTGCCTAGGGAAAGTCAGGTTACTGATAATCCAGTAAATGTTGCTACAGAAAAATGGGCACTGTATCTTGGACTCTCCATCCAAGGAGCCATCCACCTCTAACATACCTGAAAGCCAAGACAATAGGGAAACATGCTGGAATTGGAGTTGCCACACTACAAGTCCTGTTAGAGAAAAGGATTCCACATCTGCAGTCTGCTTTGTCTCTTGGGATGGATCAGAGCACTTTCAAAATCTCATGTGTGTGATTTTTGGCATTGCTGGTTTGATGGCCCCTTCTTGTATATGTTTTCTTCAGGGTTACAACCAAGCACGTGTTTCTATCTATCAACAGTCACATTTAAATTATACTTATAATCATATTTCAATGACAGAAAGTGCTTTCTTAAGAAAGAGAAACCACTGGCAGTGCTAAGAAATAAAACAAAGACAAATTTCTGCTTGTCTCTCCTGTAAGAGATCCAGTGCAATTCTTGGATGCCTTGGACTCAAATGAGATACACGTGCGTTAGCCACAACAAAGCTCTAACACAGTGGTTCTCAACCTTTTTTAGACTCGAAGCACACCTCATTAAACTTGAGACACCCCTTGGATATGCCAGTTCTTAGTGTTAACTCATTTTTTGACTATAGAAAAATAATATAGAGCAATTTCTTTGTTGCAAACAGCTCAAAAGACCACAATAGGTCAAAATGTTTTTAATGCTATGGATTTTTATTTGAAATCTCTTGTTTATCTTGTGAATCGCATTTTCAGACCTAACAGTGCTAACATTGTGGTCATCTTGGGGCACCCATGAAAGCATCTCAAGGCACCATTTTAACACATTTAAAATGGTGCAGGAAATCGCTCTCAATCACACTTCTGTGTGGAGCTGCACTTCTGTCTGTACCCAAAGTGCCAAGAGTTAGAGCACGCCCCCCCCCCAACCCAACAGATGTTGCCTGTTGGGTCATGGGGAATGAATCTGCCTGCACTGAACCCTTCCTGAACTGCCCCTCTGCCCAGTCCCATCCCCCCACCCTTCCTGTTAAAATGAAAGCTGGTGGACATATTGGACTTTAGTAATAGACAGTAGATTCATAGTTCCACTAGGGCAGACTAGGGGCCTTTGTAAAGGTTAATATTTCGTATTGGTAACCTTCCATGGTAGTCTGTATGCACCTTTTTGCATCTTATTTGCTTTCTGTCACTGTTCCAGTACATGGCAGACTGCCCAGGAACAAGCCAGTTTCTTTGTTTGCCCAAAGAAGTCTTTGTCTTCCTTCCAAGAAGGGACTTCCTCTAGCAAAGCCTAACTTTTTTTTTCCTTTCCAAAGCTTCCCTCCTGTGTGGTTGTGTGAATGGAGTAGCTTCAGTGGCTTTGAACATGTCCAAATGTGGTCTTTCTAACTCTCTTTATTGTTGGGGTGTGACCTGTATAAAAAAGGGGTTTCTTTCGAGAGAGTAAGTCTCACAAATGTCACATTGATAAAAATACATACACGATGCACATATGGGTAGGCCTGCTGGTCAGTCATCCTGCTGCTCTTTCCAAATTGCAAATCAATTTGGGAATGTAGTAAAGGAGGGAACTCGCCTGTTTCCTGCAACAATAGCTGCTTTCATTCCTGGCTTCTCTGGAAGTTAGCAAATGCATGAAACATTCCAAACAGATCTGATTTTCAAACAAGCCGGTGAACCAGATCTTCAAAAGATTAAAAGCATTTCATAGAGTCATAGATTCATAGATAGTAGAGTTGGAAGGGACCACAATGGATCATCGTGTCCGACCCCCTGCCCCTGGCAGGAAATTGGACTGAGGTCAGATGACCCCAGCCAGGTGACTATGCAGCCTCTTCTTGAAGACCTCCAAGGTAGGTGATAGCACCACCTCTCTTGGAAGCCCATTCCAGATCCTGGCCACCCTTACTGTGAAAAATTTCTTCCTAATATCTAACCTAAAGCCACTCTCAACTAGTTTACACCCATTATTCCCAGTCACTCCCTGGGGCGCCTTAGTAAACAGCACGTCCCCTATTCCCCGTTGACCTCCCCTAATAAATTCATAGGCGGCCACAAGATCTCCTCTCAGCTGTCTCTTGTGAAGGCTGAAGAGATTCAGCTCTCTCAACCTCCCCCCGTAGGGTCTATCACGAAGGCCACTAATCATGCGAGTGGCCCTCCTCTGGACCCTCTCCAGATTCTCCGCATCCCTCTTGAAGTGTGGTGCCCAAAACTGGACACAGTACTCCAACTGTGGCCTGACCAGTGCCGCATAGAGGGGGAGCATCACCTCCTTTGATCTATTAGTCATGCACCTGCTAATGCACAACAAGGTGCGATTGGCCTTCTTGATGGCCTCGTTACACGGCCGGCTCATGTTCATCTTGGAGTCAGTTATGACTCCAAGATCCCTCTCTGCCTCTGAGTTGCTGAGAAGGACACTCCTCAACCTATAGGTGTGCTGGGGATTCCTCCTTCCCAGGTGGAGTACCTTACATTTATCTTTATTAAATTGCATCCTATTTCTCTCTGCCCATTGATCCAACCTGTCCAAGTCGGCCTGAATCTGCTCTCTGCCCTCTGGTGTACTAACTTTGCCCCATAACTTGGTATCATCAGCGAACTTGGAGAGGGTGCTCTCCATGCCCCCATCCAAATTGCTGATGAAGATATTAAATAATATCGGTCCGAGGACTGAACCCTGCAGGACCCGCAGGGTCATGAAAGCTCTATCTGCTCTGGTGAAGGGTAGGAATATTGAGGCAAATGAACAATGTCATTGGATTATACTGTCACGGTGCACTCTTCCTAATTCCCGAATTTGTGACTTTACCTCCTATGTGTCTGCGCACACCAGGGATGATCCTACTTTTGCATGTTTCGGTCTTCATAGAAAGTAATTGCTGAAAAAGGCAGGTGGTTAGATAAAATCACTAGTGCAGGCAGTACAGAAAGAATAGTTTGAAAAAGCAGTCCAAGTTCATGGATAGCCCTCAGACCTGGTGTTATAGACCAATTGAAGTAACTTTCTTAGTTAATGTAGTTGCTAGGCTTTTGATAGTCATTTGGCATATGATTTCCAGCTTTTCACTGCATTTTAGCATACGTATTGGCAACAAGTGGCAGTGTTGTGAATTCCCACATTCTGGCTGTGCTGACAAAGCAGTTCTGGTAGCTGTGATGTCTGGGGTTGAACAGCTACTGGCACTGATGCAACAGCTCTGGCAGCCATGGCCTGAAGCCTTGCAGAGTGGATGCAGTCCACTTACTCACTTGAGTGTGACACCTCTGATACATAGTACACACACATTTGTTCTGAAGATTCACATGTAAAATCTTTTTCTTTATTGCATATCTTAAGAAATGATACTCTCTTTTTCAAAGAGAACAAAGTGTTCTGTAAACATTTTGTGGGATTGTAATGAATAAAATGTGGAGACTTTAAATTACATTTTAAAACAAATATTTATGCTTTCTCTTTCACTTGCCTAATAGGTTTGATTTTCAGATTCTACTTTATTTCAGCAGTTGTGGGAAGGAGAGACTTTAGTTTAAAGAAAACTGCTCCTCCATTCTAAAACTTTTCAACTGTTTTCCATTGACCTGTCACTACCTTATTTTTCCCTCTTGATTTAATCAATACTGTGCAAACCAAATCTGACTCTTAATAACCAAAAAAAATCATTTTATAAAACACAAATTTGAAAATTATGACAAGTTGTGATTAAGGGTGTAATTTTCTAAACTGTAACAAAGATTTTTGATTATTTCCAGGCTGTCAAAAAACATCAGTTGACTAAAATGTGGCTTATGAAGATCATTGATGAACGAGTAAGTAATTCTTTCATCTGCTGTGTGTATTTGAATTTTTTTTGTCCTATTTGATTTTTTGTTAATCGTATGTATCTGACCAAAATAGTTCTTCTTTTCTTTTCTGCATAGTAGTATTCAACCCTTTGAATAGTAAGGCCCTCTACCTGTTGCATATGACGGAATACTTGGGTAATTGCACAATAAATTTATACCAGCCACACATGCAAAATAATTATCATGTGATAAAATGACTATCCAGCTACGAAAAGAGCCAACTAGCCTATAAGATTAGTGTTTGAAAATGTGTAACAGCTCTATGGCTGGTTTCTATCCATCTTTAATGTGAATGTGTAGGAGGGCTTTATTTGCCCTCTGCCCTGGCATCCTGTACTATCTTAAATTTCTCCCTTGGTTAAAAAAAGGCCACTCTTCACAACTCCATTTTAATATTTCACCTGCCTTTTTGGCCAGCATGGAGGACAAAACACCATGTTTTCCTTTAAAAAATAGCATTCATGGAAGGATGGAGGTTGACAGCTCTGGAAACTATTGCTTTTTTTTTGCGTACAATATCACTGTGTGCTTTCCAAGGCCACCATGTAATTAAGTCTCAGTCTTCACCTGGAGTGATTACATCTAGGGTACCAAGGTCTTAAGTTGTGCTTAGACTTTGTGCCAGCCCTAGAGAGTTTTGCCCTAGAGATTAGAGGGTCAGTCCTTATACACTGTAGGATTTCAAGAGATACAATTTCATGAAACTCCTGAGAAGTCAAAGTTAGAAACTCTTTTTAGATAGTCTTTTAAAATCATTCTTTTCCTGTATACTTATACCTTCTTACTGTCTGCTCATATCCAGATGGCTTTTAGAAATTAATATAGAACATTTTTGTATAGTTTTGTACTAAGGCAAGATGTAGACTCAGCTCAAATGTCAGGTTTTCAGATGATATATATCTTGGTATTCACCTGGCTACCATTTTTACTGGAGTATCTGAGCAGCTAATAATCTTTAATGTTTTTATTCCCAGAACTCATAGGAGAGGAAGAGAAGAACTATATTTCCTATAGTACATACAGAGCGTATCTACATGTGATGCTACGTTGCTGCAGTGATGCATTATGGCAAAGTAGCGTCCAGGGGTATCTACACATGACCAGCAGCTACTTTACCATAGCGGCGTGCTCCTCTGTGATAGCACGCTGCTACAACGAAGTAGCTGCTAAAAATAACCATGTGCTGCGTGTACAGCGCCGTATGGGCGGTTACTGTGCTATGCTTTAGTACTTCGAAAAGGAAGTACTAAAGCCTGGCACAGTAACAGTGTCACTGTAGGGCAACGTGTGGACATGCCCATTGGGAACTAAGGCACATGGAGACAAGTGACTGGCGAAAGGTCACACAGGGAGCCTGTAGTAAATCAGGCAATTGAATCCTGTTTTCGAGTCTCATCCTTGTGTCCTAGTCATTGGCTTGTACCTGCTGTGAAAGCATTTTAAACATCACAGCAGAGGACCATTCTAGTATCTTCATAAAACTAAGGTTATGATTCTGCAGCAACTTTGTATAAATAATTATAGCTGTTTTCTTGTTACTTTAGCATTGCAGAAGGGGAATTTAAATCCACAGAAATTGTGGTCACCACATTAACTGTATCTGGTTGTGATCAGACATGTTGTTAAACATGTACTTTAATGTGTATAGCTGCATGTATATGTGTATTCTCTTTACACCCCCTCGTGTAAATTACCTTTGTTCCCTTCATACTAATGAGGGGATATGTTGATTTACTTATCGACTCAAATAGTCTATATTTACACTGGAATATAGATTCATCCTCATTCATGTTCCATGGTCCAACTACAGGAAAAAAATTTGGATGATAGAGCATATCGTAACATCCAAGAGCTTGAAACATATGCTGAGAACACTCAGAGCGCTCTTTTATATCTCACACTGGAAATGTTGGGTATGTGCTTCCTTATTTTTGATTTTTACTAAGAGTTTATCAGCTCCACTATTATTGCTTCTACATTTATGAAATAATGGTGGACTTTCATAAGTGCTGAGCATTTAGCTTGATTCTGCTTTCACTAAATCCAAAGGTAACATTTGCTGTAGTGGAAGCACAATTTGGCCATGTCCACATGAGCAGGGGCGTGTTTGCACCAGTATTTGTGCAGCTACAAACAAATTTGTGCCACTACTTTGTGCTGCAGTGCATGCTCCTGCTCATGTGGTTTGCAGCGGGACACATTGTCCTGCTGCTTCATGTACTGCAGGAGGGCTGGCTGGGGTACAGGGTGCCTCAGTGCAGGGTAGACAGCAGGCAGCCCCTATGCTGACACACCCTGCGCCCCAGCCAGCTGGGAAGTGGCACGTGGAGATGGGATCAAGCAGCCCAGGGCGTACACCACAGTTGTCCTGGCACACTGCACTTTGATGTGCTTTGGGTCCCCCTTTCTTTTTTTTAGGTTTTTTTTTTTTTTTTTTTTTTTTGGTATGCTATTGGGAAATCCCCCAAGTTTTGCCCCATCACTGTAAATTAACAGTGTGGGACATGATTTAATGAGCAACACGTGCAGTTGTGGCATGGCAAATAGGTTTGTGGTGCCACAGACTGCATGTGCCTGCACATCTGGATCCTTTAGTGCTTTGCAAAATTTGTCCTTTAACCTTTGAAATTGAAATTGAACTTAGTGCAGACAGCATAAATTTGTGTATCTTACTTAAATGTAACTGCAGTAAGTATAAACATAAATTAAACTCCAAAGTGTAGGCTAACTGCATAGTCTCTTAGTCACTGAAACAGAAGTGTAGTCATTTAAAAAGGGAAAAGGCAGTGAAGATTGCAAGGGCTTTGTGGTTTAGACGGTGTCTGTCTGTATATTGCTGAACACAGTGTGCCTTTGTGTAATAGGAAGCAACAAAGTGAGGACTACCCAGATAGTTCTTGAATCCTGAACTATTAGAACCTATACTTCTAGCACTGCTAGTAAGAGTCTACCCCATGTTTTGGGGAAAGATCTTCCTGATAGTCTGACTTTCCTATTTTAATTAGATCATATTTTAGAGAATTCTAGATTGCTCATGTTGGTCTCAGAATTCCTTCCTTCCTCTCCTCTCCCTTTACCAGCTATGTTATTTCAGGTGAATTTGACAAAAGTAGAAGCCTAGCCTTCTCCCTTAGGACTCGGGATCTCTCCCTCCCAAACTCAGATATGTAGCAAATAAAATAATTATGAATTTGAGCGAGACCTCATTGAAAACAGGTGTATCTAAATTAGACTAGTTACATTAGTACCTTAAATATAATTTTGCATGTTACATTGTAGGGAAATTGCTCCTCACTGGACTCTCTCCAGTTTCTGTGCCCTCTTAAAGTGAATATTTTTGCTTCATGTTACTATTAATCTTGCATTATTTCTACTGTTTAGCCAGAATTATCTGAATTTAAATCCTGTCCACTAGAGTACATGAAACACCCCTCCTCTCCCTTCCCAGTTTGGCTTTATCTATGAATAATAGAAATGTACTCTCTAGTCCAACCTCCAAATTCTTAATGAAAATTTCGAACAGTATTGGACCCAAAGCAGATCTCTGTTGGATCCCACTTGAAATGTTTTCTTAATTTGAGGCATTGAAAATTACTCCTTAAGGTCCTTTTGCCTTCCCCTTCCCCCCCTGCAACTGCTTGTATACCCATGTTCTAGTAATTTCATCTAGACCAGAGGTTTGCAACCTAAGGTGCAGGGCCCAGAGTGGTCTGTAAAGGTGGTTGGGGGGGTGTCATGGAGCAGTGGCAGCTGCCAGGTCACAAACAGTGGCCTGCCTTCAAACTTACCGTTTTTAATTTGGCTAACCATTGCTATAAAGTTGCCAGCTCCTGAGCTAGAGCATACTTCCGTAGTTTGTTTATGAGACCTGAAAGATGGGACTGTCAGAAGCCCTACTAAAATTAACATATACCTCATATACTGCTTCCTTACTATCTGCTAGGCTGCTTATCCCAGGAAAGAGGGAAATTAGAATGGTTTGATAGAATTTGTAACAAAGTTATGAACTTGTTGGCTTTTTCTGATTACCTCGTTTTCCTTTATGGCTTTAAAAATTATCCATCAATTTGTTCCAATAGCTTTCAGGTATCAAAGTTAATCTGATTTGTCTGTAATTCCGTGGATCTTCCTTTTTCTCCCTGTTAACTGCATCTTTCCACAAAGCCACTTTAATGGGTTAAAGCAAGGGTTGGCAACCTTTTCAGGCTGTGGCCTGGATTGACCCAGTTCGGGTCAGAGGCTGTCCAGTGCCGTAGGTTGCCAGCCCTCTAACCCAGGGGTTATTTAAAATGTTGGTCCTGCCCTGGATTGATTCTGTGCCTTAGTTTTGTTGCTGGCCAGGAATCTTTTGTCCAAATGATTTTCTGGTAGGAACTGGAATGTCTAAAAAATCAAAACATTCTTTGAAAAGTTGTCTTTGATCATAGGCACTGCCTGCAGTGGGGACTCTGTAGTTCTGTGGCTATACTGGTGCATTAGGGTAAGCTACCCCAACACAAGTCAGCTTCTGTGCTGGTGTTTGGGGGTTCTGCTAGGGGGTTGAACATGTACAGCTGTGTTGGACCAGCAGTGCTAATGCAAAAAGTCATATGTAACTAGTGTTAAGAGATTTCATTCCAGAATTAAAAAATCATTGTGCTACTTCAGAACTTTCACTTTTGAGGTGTTCACAAGTTGCTTCAAGACCTAATACTGTTTAAGATATAGGTTTACCTGTGCCTTAAGCAAAAAACAAATGTGTGACTTTCATAAGACTCATTACTATGTTAACTAATGGTGGAGCAGCCTGAGTGCATGTAGTTTATAACTTTTATGTCTGCAAACGCAGGTGTGAGGGACATCCATGCAGATCATGCAGCCAGTCACATTGGGAAAGCGCAGGGTATAGTCACCTGTCTACGATCAACTCCATATCACATCAACAGAAGAAAGGTTTTTCTTCCTATGGACATTTGTATGTTGGTAAGAAAATACTGACTGGAAACAACCAATATACTGCCTCTAACCTATACTTCTCAGTTCTTGATACAAGAACATGTTATTAGATTACAGAATCATTGAAAATAGGTCTGGAAGGAACCTCAGGAGGCCAACTAGTTCAACACCCTGCTTCAGGCAAGATCATTTTTGTCTAAACCATCCTAGATGAGTGTCTATTTAATTTGCTCTTAAAAACTTCCAAGGTTGGAGATGCCACAACCCCTCTAGTGTACCTGTTGTTTAATTACCTTCATAGAGAGATTTCTTCCTAAATCAGAAAGTAAGTGTCAGTCTCCTACTTCCTTTTGGTAAGAGAATATTCGCTTCCTGTGCCTTAGTCTCCCTACCAGGTGCCCTCTGCCATAGACCTGGTATTTGTCCTTTTGCTTTATTTCTTTTGGGAGGTAAGATTAGAGTGATTTATTTATGTGTTTATTTTAGCTCTTTTGGGGTTTTTTTTCTTAAATCCAGTAGCAGTTTTGCTAAAAGATTTTATTTCCTCTGCCACTGCTAGGGTCCAGGCAGGTATGGGAGAAGGTACTCCCCAGCCAAGGAATTAAATCTTACACCAGTTATTCCCTTCTTTCCCCCCCCCCCCCCCCCATGGGTGCCACCAAATTAAGGGCTTTATCTCTTTGCTCAGAGTGGCATTTGACGGCAGTGGGTTAGCACACCTTGGCTTCACCCCAGCTCCTTTGCCTGCTCTGCTCTGCTCTGCCAGAGTCCATAGTAGCCAAAACCCAAGAGCACTTGTCCTTTGGCTTTGTCCTCTGGCTCCTTCCCCTGCTCCACACAGCTGGAGCCTATAGCTGCCGGAGTTACAGAATAGCAGTGGCCATGTCAGCATCCCTTGCTTCTGTTCTGGCATCTCCCCATTTAGTGTCTGGGGTTTGTGTCCTCCTTACTCACCCCTAATCATGCCACTGAGCGAGAGAAAGTTGCAGGAACACAAAGTAACCTGGCAGCTATCAGAATTTTCTGGTTCCACTTGAATCCATGTTTCTGTGTTCCCATGTGCAAACATGGCAGAATTGTCTAGTGAGGACAGTGTTGAAAAAAATGGTTAGGTAACATAATGCTGAACATGTCCTGATCTGCATTAAGCAGGAATTCTTGGTCAACGTTGTCAGTTAGCATAGTTTCATATAACTGTTCAAACATGGTAACATTTTGTAATACATGCCCAGCTATATGGCAGTATCTTGCTTCATGAAACAGACCCTCTTTTTCCCCAGTAACCATCCCTGATATTTTTCTTCCTTTATTCTGCCTAGCATCTTGTGGTCTGTCTTTTTAACTTGGCATACAAGTAACTGATTTCAGATTTCCAAAACTTAAATTCTAGCTCAGTTATCCCTACTCACTAGAAGATATTTAGAGATCCAGTTTATTCGAAGACTCAGTTGATGCCCTTCCTTCCCTAGAGTTTGCCTCCCATTGACTAACTTTAAAAAACATGTAATAAACATTTAGGATATTTTATATGGGTTGGTAGTCTGGTTGCCAGATTTTTTTGTTTTTTTTAAACTTTTGTTAAGATGAAATGTGAGATTTGTGGTGTTTTGTTTTTTTTTGTCCCCTTGCCCTCCATTGCTCTCAGCATGGTGTTTCACAAGAGGATTTCATAAGATGCCATCAAGAGAAAAATGTGAGAGACGTAATTTATGACATTGCCAGTCAGGCACACGTCCATCTAGAACACGTGAGCTTCCTCTCTCTGTTGATATCATAATCTGTGTTAATTTTCTGGAGTGTTTTCATAATGTGGTTTTGGATGGCGTGTCTCATTGGGTACACACAATTCCAAAGATTTTAAAAACACTTTGCCTTTCCAATTGGAGTTGATCTGTGATGTTTAGTGTCTAAGCTAACTCAGCCCTTGCTAACTTTGCTAACATGCTCATGATTACTTTTGAGGAGTGCAGCTTTGTGCTTTGACATTTATGGTACAGAATAAAAGGCACAAAAATAAACTAAAAACTTGCTTTAAAACTCACAAAGTGAACTCTGAATGGGTGCTGTCAGAGGACATGCAGGGCATTGAGTTCAAACTCTGCAAAAGTACTTACTGAAGTCTTGTTGTGAGAGACACCCTGGACTTAGGCACTGTTTGAAGCTGCTAAGTGTCTGTGAAGCGTGCCAGATAGCACGGGTGCAGACATTCTTGGCCAAAGCAGTACTTCAAAAGCAACCTTGAAGAAGAAAAAATTGTTGCATTTTGAGCATCTTCTGAAACATCTGCACTCTCTAGCAGTCATCCAGCATCTCATAATTTTCTGCTGCCCTCCCCTATCCTCTGGGGTGGTGAGGGGGAGAGAGTAGGGTAGACAGCCAATCAGCACTCCTCTGTGTACTCAGCTGTCCTCTGGAAACTCTGGAGACCAGAGGCTGAGGTATACAGGGATTCCTGCTCTTCAGCCCTGACTGAAGATCAGTGCCACTATATGCTTTTGCAAATTTGATGCACATTGGTATGCCAGAGGGCACATGCATCTGCACAGCACTATAGACTCAAATTCTGCAATGGGCTGCAAGGTGCGTCTGCACAGATCCCATTCCAGGATCAGCACTACAGATGGCATCTATACAGGAACTGCATCATGAATTTTGTAGTGCAGGTGCAACAGCTGCCAGGAATACAAAATATTTTGCATTTTACTGCCAAACACTTTTTCCTGAAAAAGCATGATACCATACACTGAACTGTACTGGGACTCTTTAATGGATTGCTTTTTCCTCAAGCCAACCTGATTAGAATAACTGTCAAACAAGCATTATAAAAGATTTTTTTTCACAGGGATCAGTTAATCTGTGTAGATCAGGGGCAGGCAATTTTTTGGGCCCAGGAGCCACATAGGGAGTTATTGCAGACTGGGTGAGCCCACCGCCTCCCGCATTGTAACAACTCACCAAAACTCCCTATGCGGGATTTTGCTGCGAGTGGGCATGGAGTGGTGTTCAGGAGAGGGCTGGGCAGGCAAGCCTAGGATCATGGGGTGGAGTTGCAGGGTGTAGACAACATGGGGCTGGGGCCTGGGACAGAGTTGCGATCTGCTCCCTACCTGCCTCTGCCATGTGAGGGGGTGTAGTGTGTGTGTGGGCGGGGGCGGCACTGCCTGTGTGCTAGGGCCTGGGAGCTGGCCAGGGGTGAGGGGAGGGGGCAGGGGGCACATGCAGCACAGCTTTTTCAGGCAATGCAGTCTGCAGTTGCCCCCATGGCATTCTGCATGGGGATGAGCCGAGCCCTGCCCACTCCCACCTAGGGCAGCTCGCACCATGCTGCACCACTTTGCTTGCCTGGCATGGGTGGCTGAGTAGATGGAAGGCAGCCAAGAGCTGGAGCCCCACATGCTGGGCAGGAGCTGTCTGGCTGAAGCTTCCTTTCCGCCTGGATCAGCGCAGCAGGAGGAGGAGCTGCCGCTGGAGGCAAAGGGAGCCAAGCAGCACCCAGGTGGCTGTAGCCGTATTGGGGGCAGTGGCCCTGCTGGTAAACTTTGCGCACTGGCCCAGACTGGGGACTGTAGGCATGGGTAGGAGCACAGTGTGGGCTGCCCCCAGTGGGACTTGGTGCCATGTGAAGTGCTGCAGGGGCATATGTGGGCCTGATCCAAACAATTGGTGGGCTGTATTTGGCCCGCAGGCTGTATTTTGCCCACCCTGGTGTAAATTCTAATTTAGGATCTACACAGAGACCTCTTTTTTTTCTCCATTTGTTTATCTCCCTCATTTGGGGAGGTCATATAGCAAAATCAGCCCAGTTGGGGTGCTTGGGGACAGTTGATTCTGAGTACCCCTGCTGAGATAGACAGCTCTGCAGTTAACATGTTAACAACTGTGGTGGTTGCAACTGATAATAAGGATGATGCTATAGATCAGTCAGCCCTTCAGGAAACCTGGGGCGGGGGAAGGTCTGTGTTGTCTGGGACAGAAAAATTGCTGTTCCAGACTGGAACCAGGGACATAGCCAATCTATTATTCCCTCCTCCCCTGCTTCCAGTCCCCTCAACTCCAATCAGACTGTGCACCTGAAAGGGTCCCAGCGGAAGACTGTAGGGATCCTTGCAGCCTAGTATCCTTATGTGCTCCTCCCTGCTACCTCAATTTAGCCCCACAGGCCTGTGTATCCTAATACACCCATCCCCTCCTTGTCCCCATTGCCCCAGATCAGTCAGATCAATTTAACCCACATGGTCAGTTGTGCCCATCAAGTCTGGGACTGGGTCAAAAACATCACTGTGAGGAGGGTGCTTCCCTGATGCAGAGTTGTTCACTAGGGTGGTGGTGGGGACGTGTTCTAATTCTTGGGATTTCTGGGACAGGGTGGGCAGCTGTCTGCACTGGGCCCTGGGTTTTGTGCTCATGCCCATATAAGCAGAGCTGTCCTTAGGGGTGTGCGGGGCTTGGGGCATATCAGCCTATGCAGAGCCGGGGTGGGGGTGGGGGGTGAAGGTGGGCGACTGCCTACAGAAGCCGGCAGTGGCAGAGCCTGTATGGCACTGTCCATGGGGCCTCCCAAAGTGCAGGGCCTGATTCTCTCCCCCCAGGCATGGCCCTGCATATGAAAATGGCTGGTAGTGGGGCATGTGAGCATTGAGCATGGTGAGTAACAGGCATGGGATGAGAGGCTGGGGGGAGAGGGGTCCTTGTGCCCCTGTGACTAGAGCCAACCACCCTTTAGGACACTGCAGGATTTCTTGGAAATCAGCTGAGCTTCTCTGAGAGATGGTGAATGGTGCCAGCTCCAGCTGGGTGCCAGCAAGGCAATCTAGGCTGGCCCAGCCCACAAGGTAGTGAGCAGAATGGCTGTCTTGGGGACTATCCCAGCTGGGACATCTAGAACAGAAGATAAAGGCTCTTCCTTCAGAGCTCCCAAATGGGGAGGACCTGTGAGCCTGGACTCCTGAGTTCTGTACATGGCTCTTGAGGGCGGATAGCATTTAGTGGTTAACACAGGAGAGGCCTGCTGTGAGACAGGATATTGGTTTATTTCCCTGGCAGTGGAGTTTAGTGGTTAGAGAGAGGGACTGAATTTAGGATTCCTGGATTCTATCCCCCTGCTGAGAGAGGACTGTGGAAGCCAGTATATGCTTATTTTGCCACATATAAAAATAAAATACAATGAACATGCTTATAAAAGTATGTTGGAACACCAAACAAGGAGGCATTAGATTTTTCTAAGCCAAGTAGTTGGAACAGTATTTAAATACTTAGAAAAATGGCAAGACATTTTCCCTTCAACATCTTTCTCAAAAGTGGCTGAAGTATTGTTTTAGCTGAAACTTTCCAAAAAATAAAATAAAAAGGGTGGTGGGGAGGGAGGGAGGGAAAACACTTTGCTTAAGAAAGATACTAAGGAGAATAAATTGCAACTCTTAGTTTGGCAAATATATACGTGCAGCTGAAAACACAGACAGGGTGGGCAGCCTTAGCTACAGGTGGCAACACAAGGGTTCACTATAACCTAATATCAATAAATAACAAATTGCATCTCCAGGAACAATTCCTCTTAAAAAATATCAAGCGCAAGGATGCATTCAGCAAGGTAAATCTATTGACAGGATTGCTTTTGATATTTGTGAATATTTTCATCTGTCACTCTTGATGTTATCTCCAAGAAGACAGCATGGCCAATGCAAGTAAAGAAATAGATGCAGTTAGAATAAATATAAGTCAATGACAAGAAATAACTGAGTATTGTATAAGGGCAAAGGAAACTATTTGAGCAAGGAAAATTAATTTTAAAATGATTGTGTGTAAATATATTAAAAAATGACTGTTCAAATACAATTGTACACATAACTTTGCTCTACAATTCTTGTTTAATATCTGGATTGATTCCTTTAAAAAAATCCTAAACTAAAAAATTAGTCAGTAATGCTCAGCCAGGGCACTTAGGTACCCAGGAGTGCTGCAAGATCCTTTGGAGGGTGCACTGGGATGTGAGGTGATCAGCCAGGTGGGAGGAGATAAATGTGGGGTCTGGCTCAGTCCCTGGCCAATCCTCCGTCCCCCACTACCCACCTGTGCAAGGAGGTAAGCACTATAATAAAATAGTTTTGAATGGGGTGCTACTCAGTTATGGAGGGGTGACTTCTGTCTATCGACAGGTGCCTTGAGTCTAGAAAGGTTGAGCTACATTGGTCTGGTAAATCATAACCAGAATCCTAGTGCAGTCTTGCAAGCATGCAATCCAGTACATGGACTTCTGCTGATTTACACCAGCTGAAGGTCTATTTTACTAGACTGTACCAAAAAATAGCATTTTACTCTTTTCTGAATGATAGTGGTGATTAATACATGCTCTTATCCACTGGTTTTGAATACAAAAATATTTTTATATGCTCACTAAACAAAAATCCATTAAAAAATTCAAATTAGTGTTTTTGTAGTCAGTTATAGTGTCTGGTTCTGGGTATGACTGTAAACTACCTCACTGGAGGGCCTGGTGGCAGTGTGGTGGGGCTATTTGTAGTGGGGTAGCTCTTATATCAAGATGTTGCAACCCTCAGAGTAAGGTGAGTAATAGGGCACCTTAAAACCTTAGCCCACACTACCTTGTAGGTACTGCTTGGTTGGAGAAAGGCTAAGGGACATCAGCCTGACAGAAATGTGCCCTCACTGAGGTGTTAGATCTTACTAATAAATAAGTGGCACAAGCTACAACCATTGAGGAACTGAACATCTGGACTCGGTCTGGCCTTTGGATTCTGCCTTAGTGGTCTAAAGTGGGGATGGTAGGTCTTAGGCACTCGCTACTCCTCCATTCTCTTGCTTAGGCTTATGCATTGAAGGTCTTGGTGTGATGGTCGTAGGACTCTGTACAAGCAGATTAATTAGGCACCTGGCTAGGCCTCTTACATGTACACCATGATCCAGAGGATCAACAGTTGCCTACTCTATTGTCATAATTCATTACAATTTGACATAACTATACAGCTGGTCCAATAAAAGATAATGTTCACAAAAGTCTTTGCTTGTCTCATTTTTTCTGGACCATTATGGCTACAGCATCACCACAACTCTTCTGCTTTTAATAGCAGTGGCACTTTGATGTCAGTAGGACTCCTGTGAAAATAAAGTGAGGGTTTAATTTGTATAATGCTTTTAAAATGTTAAAAGTTGCATCAGTGTCAATTAATCCATATGATGCTTCCTCTGAGGAAAGGGATAAGTGGGTATTATCCTGATTTGGCACCTGGGGAAACTATATTACAAAAGGGTGAACTTGGGAGGACGTACAAAGATAATCCTACAGACAGAATAGTTAACGTGCTCTCCGGTACATTTGTAGTGCTGTGCTGTATAAGGTTTGGAGGTCAGATAGTTCCAAAATAGAACATAGCAGGTAGAGAAACTGATCACTCAGTTGCTCTGAGTGGAACTTGGGCCAGTGACCAGTAGAGGGCAAAATAAGCTAGTGATGACAAATTTATATAAGAGTATTGTGAGTAAAACACCCAGTGAGAGCTATCAAAGCTATGGTGAAGATGAGTGTCATTTCTACAGCAGCTATTGCCTGGACAGTCCTTTCTAAAAATACAAATTCTGCTCAAAACCTTGATATTTTCCATCTTTGGCATTTGAAAGATGGCATTTGGTTTTTCATATGTCTCAGAGCAACTTCTATTTGGTGTAGTGTAACTAACTGTCAATAGTGTAAGCTTATCTTGAATTTGGATTTTTTTTCCCCTGGCATGATTGTAGACATAACTTAACTACATCCAATCAGAGTGTAGGAGGTTTAATTAAAGTTGAGCTAAAAAGCAGAAATAAATCCTTCTTTATTATTATCTTCTTTATGCTTTGTGTCATCTGACACATTAAAATAAAATATTATGCTCTTTGGAAGGAACTGAGATTTAGCTATTATATCAGTTAAGGGCTGTGAAAGCTGCCATTCAAGCTTCAGCCTGTTTTTAGATCCTTTTCCTATTCTAGATATGCAGTCTTTCAGAGGGCTGTGAGGAAAAGGAAAAAGAAAACAAAAAGCAACAATCCTCTCTTCCCAAGCAGACAAACCACTGCTTCCCTCCCTAGGGAATTCAAGGATTGATGTTTGCAGTGTTTTTAAAGAGGCAGAGGTATACGTTGTAGCCGTGTTGGTCTAAGGACATAGGCAGACAAGGTTCTTTGGGTGAATCTTATATTTAAAGAGGCAGACACTTTCAGGAAATTGTTGATGCTGTATTTATAAATGGAGTCATATTAAAGTTCACAATATTTTTTTTCTTTTCCAATTTATTGTTTAGGATGTGTCTATATAGCAAAATGCAATGTTATCTAGAGATACCTAGCTAGTTCTGAACAAGTAGCTTGAGTATTGGAAGCAGTTTAGCAGCAGTAGTATGCTGTTTCATCCAGACTAACGTACCTGTCTGTTGAGAAGCGCTACATAAGTGCCTACACAGTGCCATGCTAGTGATGCTGTACCTGGTATTATAATTAGTGAAAGTTAACTTGGGTATCTGCAAGGCACTGCATTGTCATGTATGTATGCTCTTAGATGCAACTAAATATACCTATCTGTGCATCTTGGGGGTTCTCCCCCCCCCCCCCCCCCAGCTGTAGCTGAAGCTTAGGTGCCAAACCTTCAATTGGATCCACTGTCTCAGACCCCTCCACAGGACTTGGAAGGGGCCAAGAAGGATCCCATTGTCTGTTGAAAGCCATAAGAATTATAAAAAGCTTACACAACAGTTCATTTTTGGTTTGCAATTGTTTTTATATATTCTAAAAAGAGGAGTGCCTCCTTCTGTGTTCTGAAAAGTTATACTTGTCCTTGCTGTACATTCAAATATGAAATACTGAAGCTTATGATAAATCATGCTAGCTTTGGCCATGAAATTTGGTATTTGAGGTTTAGTTTGAAATAATTAACTATACTCTGCTCAGTATTTTTCCCCTCTCCTTTCAGGCCCGATCCTTCAGTAAAAATGTTCCTGGTAAAGCATGTCCTGCCTTTCTCTATACAGTAAGTATGGCAATACAGTTTAAGTGATAGATTCATTTTTGTGACAATTAATTTGACTAGAACAATGAAGTACTAAATACAGTATTGTGGATGATTTGTATTTAATTGGAGTTGTGCATGCTTCATACCTCTGAATGTTATGACATTTTTATAGGAGCTTACTAGAGATGTAAGGTTCTGATTATAGATCCTTGACTGTAGATGCTGATAAATAGATTTAATTCCAATTTTAAAAAATGGTAGTTTTCTCCAAAGTCATTTTTTTCTATACATTCATAAACTGTCAGAAATGTTTTGATGTTTAGAATGCAGTTTAATTTGTTGTTCTTTGTACACACCCTGCTGTTTGCACACATCAGACTAAACCTTTTTTTTTTCCCTCTCTAGGTTGCATTAGAGGATTATTTACATAAAATACAAAAAGTAGATTTCAACATATTCCATCCAAACTTACATAAGAAGAATGTATTACTACCACTGCATTTGTATATTAGATCTTGGAAAAAAATGTATTAAAAATGTACTGAGCACATGATACTGATTGCTGCTGTTTTTCTTTCTTTCTTTCTGCAAACAGGTTTTCATTGGAAATAACAAATTTGCCCAAGTTGTAGTTGTAAGCTTGGTGACAGTAAAACAAACAAACAAAAAACAACCTAGTATTTTTAGCAATAAATTAGGCAGGTATCTACCACATACTCATGTGCTAGGTTACATGTACTGTTCTAAGGTTAATTTTCTAGTTCCTTTGTAATAAACACACTTTAATAATATTTACTTGGGATCGAAGCTTTCTTGGGCCAATCTCCCATTAAAATTTATTATTTATTCCTGGCATGCCCACAGTCTTCTAGGTTCTATGCCAACATAAAAGGAAGCATAATCTCAAAAGGAATTGCAATCGATACTCTGGAATTCAGATAAGCAACAGTATTTAGTACTTTACAAAACACACACGGTTTTGTAGTTCCTAATGATATTCCTCAGTTAAATCTAATCAAATCCATTTGGATATAGTAAAGTTCTGTGTCTGGCAGAAAAATGTAAAAGCCTTTTTTGGTTAATTGAAATTGTACAATTTTAAATATTACGTTATATAAATATAACATTGAAAGCAGATTCCACCCTGCAGTTTTGACTCATTATCTGAACATCAGGATTGGGTCTTGAACTAAATCAGGAAAAGAGCTCTGTTGTTACACTTGTGGGTGAAAGAGAATCCTCAAACATCACTATCTTCCATCAACTCAACTCAGACCTCCTACTTACCTCTTCTATTAATTTGGCACTATCTTAGACCATTCATTTTTCTCCTTGCCACTGTTCTGTAAGCTTGCCTCATCACCTTTAGTAAGATCTTTGACAGTCCCATATAATATTCTCATAAGTGTTGAAAATTAAATTAGTATTATATACATGTACAATATTGCTTTTTGTATGCCATGTACCTCCATTAATTCTCCATGCCTATATCTCCTCTCTCTCTGACTCTAATCACCTTATCTAGTTTCCTTAAGTCTTTGGTGCTCAGCTGCGTAGTACCCAATATAGGCCTGCTCCTGATATGTGAGGAACATTCACAGTTCTTGCTCTTTGATGGAATTACTCCATATATCAGTGGGAATTATTAGTTGTTCAGCATCTCTTGGCATTGGACCCCAAATGTCTGATATTTCTAGTAATTTCTTTATTTAGTAAAATAGTGCTTTCTAACATCCATTTTTGTCTTGCACAAATTCTGGCTTCCTTTGCTATCCTTCTTGTCCTGTTAAATAGCATTTTTGCATACACAGTTTTTTTTCCCTCTTTAAAATCAGGATTAATCTCCCTAGATACTTGGTTGTATAACAGCATCCTGTATTTTAGTGTACAGTGCTACATAACGAATTTCTAAGAATTAGATCCTTGGCTATTTCAATCACAAGATCAGTTACTGTGGAGCAAATTTGGCAAGTGTAACATAAAGCATTTAACTGAAAAGAGGATTGAAGCTGTGCCTCTTGCTGTGGTTATTTATTTATTTATTTTTCAATGATGCAGGTGTTCAACCCTGCAGTCCCCTGTTTCTGAATGAGAAATCTCTCTTCAACAGTTCACTTCAGGACTTTCTTTTGGCTCTGTATTCTGTGTTATTAGAAATGCAATAATTAAAGGTGGCCTGAAAGTAAAAAAGGGGTCTGGATATCAGACTGATATGTAAGACTACACTGAGTTCTTGCAGTGAGGGCTAAAGTAGTATCTTAAAGGTCCTGCACTGTGGTGGTCATTCTTCTACTCCACAGCTGTAATCGTCAGTGTTCTTGAATCTGCCACCACAGGGCTTCCTGCCAATTTAAAAGCATGGGCTAGCCACACATTCATACTATTTGTTTTGTACAAATGTCTTTCTGCAACTGATCCATGGTCTTGCGCTTAGTATGCTGAGTCAGGAAATGGAAGCAGCCCATCCCTTTCATTAAAAGAAGTCACTTTTGTTAAGTTGACTTGTGGTAGGAATCTTGGTACAGTAACTTAGTGGTGAAAAGAATCGGAAATGAAAAATCCTTCACTAGAGTCAATATGTAAATTGCTAAAACGTGACTTGGCTTCCATGCCATAAAGTTAGTGCCTTGCTGGAGCTGTAGCAGATGTTGATTGTTGTTGCTATAGAAAAAATCAAAAGAGAAGCTGATCTGTTTCAGTGTAGGAAAGTAATCATAGCTGCTGACAGATGTGGAAAAAAAGAAAAAACCAAAACAAACGTGCTTAATCGGAAAAGCCAGCACGTTAGTTCAGCCCAGCTCTGCAGCATCTGTATGGAGTGGATGCGTCGGCGGGGCTTTTTGGCGCTTTTATCTAAAGCTGATTCAATCAGCTTTAGATAGGTGCCAAAAAAGCTCCGCTAAAGCACCCAATCTATACAGACGTTGGGCGAGCTTGGTCCAACTAATGTGATGCCTCTTTTGGGCATGTGCTGGCCTTGGCATGGGGGCATGCCAAGTTTAAAATAAAGCACCTTTTTTTAACATCTGTGAGCAGCCCATATGTAGTGGGCAGTAAGGTCCCACAACTAGCATGCTAATCAATTAATTAATAAACAGGATATGAATTAAATAAATTAAAGTTACAGTTCTCTGATCACATGGAGTTGCCACAGAGAGAAAAGCAACATCCTGAATCCACAAACAGCAGGAGACTGTTAATCAAGCAGTTTTTTATCACATATGTAGCCTTTAGGGAACTAGTCTCTCTCTAGATGTACACTGTAACCCTCATTTTGGGAATGATATGTGTACATGGAGTTGAGAATTTGCCCTAAAATAATTTAAATACTCTCAATCTAAATACAGACCTTAATTTGCAAATTTCCTACCTTTGTAATCATAGTTTTATTGCTGGCAATCATTGCCATCAGAATTACTAAATTGGTAACTGAATTTTCTTATATAACTAAGGCCACATCTTTTTATGGCTTCATCCTATTTTTAGTCTTGTTTTGGATCTCTGACATTTTTCTCATTCTCATGTGCTATGAGATGTGAACAATTCATTCAGGGTTGCTGCTTTAGTAGGCTAATTGGGAAAGTTTATAAAACATGCATATAGCAGATAGGCTGTTAATTGCTATTTGTGCTTTTGAAACCTCTTCCAATTTTTACTGCCACTGATTGGCAAAAACTTATTAATGTCTTGTCATAAAATTTACTTTTGATAGTGAAAACGACTGGTACAAAACCATCAGATTTCAGTGGTTGCAAAAATTAATATGTTTATCGTATAATTAAATTTTAGAGGTGCAAAGAAGTAGTTGCTAAAAATGCACTGGGGCTGAATGATATTAGTAAATTTAACCAAAAAATCTCCCTGTATATTTTATGTAAAATGTCTGGGTTGTCATCTTTTAGAAAACTAGCATTACTGCGTTCTGTGTTACAAAGGAGAAAAAACCAAACTGTTTACCTCTGCTTTCAGCATGTCTTTTTCATCAAGAATGTATGTACCTCTTGAAAGTGTGTCTGGTTTCTCTGTTTGTTTTAAAGTTCTTGACAGAAAACAGTTTTCATCCTTTTTTTCCGTTCATAGCTGCCTTTTGAACCATGTTGCACTTTGTGGCAATGTTCTTCATTTTTACATAACTTTTCATTAGACAGTTTTGCATACTGTTGCATTCATTTTGATCAATCACTCCATCTGTTTTTTCATAAACTGTCCTTAAAAGTTAATTATAAAGCTAATTTACCAAATGCTAGTAGCATTAATAAAATGTCCATTGCATGGTATGGGACTGAAGGTTGTGTACAGTGAAATGCTGTTTAAAAGAAAAAAGAAAAGAAAAAAAAACTAACTCCCCACATCTTACTGGTGTTCATTCTTTTTGATTGTTGTTTTGTGGCTAACTGTGAAAGATGTCTTAAGGTCTGCTGTATTTTAGCATAAATTGTACAGAATTTTCCTGTGTTGTATTTGCCTGAGTGATCTTGGTAAATCTGTAGGAACTCTTCCTCTGATTTGAAGAGCACTTGTTTTTGAAAGCACCAGTAATTTTTTGAGAGGAGAAGTGGGGAAAAGGACTGGTTTGGCAGCAGTGGTGGTATTGACATACATAGAAAACATGGCTTGTGTCCTAAGGATTATGTAATCTAAATTAGATAGTCTATATATCCCAGGCGCTCTCAGTTCAATATTAAGGAACTAAGTCTCTCAACAGCTGTCAGAGACAGATGTTCATCCCTATTTTACAGATGTGGCAACCAAGCCACAGAGCTGTGTTATTTGCTTAAGATCATACAAGAAGACTATACTGTAACAAAGATGAGTTCTTCTGGTATCTAGCCATGTACTTTAACTCCACATCCCACAAGACATGTTAAAGCAGGGGCAGGCAATTATTTTGGGCAGAGGGCTGCTTACTGAGTTTTGGCAAGCCATCGAGGGCTGCATGACAGGCAGCCCAGGGCAGATAAATATTAATTTTCTAAATTTTTAGGGGCCCCGTGGGCCAGATAGAATAGTATCCGGCCCCCGGGTTGCATTTTGCCCACCCCTGTGTTAAAGAGTAATGGTATGCCCTGCTTCGTTACACATGCACACACAATCTCAAAACATTAAAATTGCGATCTTAAACTCTTAGAATTAGGAGATTCTGGAATTAAGTTTGTACAAATCTTAATTTAGTTATCTTGTGTATGCATTACGATAGTCTTCAATTATTAATTTCTCATGGGATTTTACTGTACTGTTCAATAGTGAATTCAAGTACTTCATAACTGTCTGTTACTTGATCTTCACAATGTTGTTGTGAGATAATATTAGCCCTAGATTCCCCTTGCTGCCAGATTGTTGCCTATGTTCTGGCTTAATGGCCTGGATAAAATCACTTGGTGGACTGTAGGTTGCTGACCTCTAGCTTATAAATGATATCTACTACTGGCCATTCAGTGATCTCTGTTTACTTAGCTAGTCCATTTGCAAAATTGAGGGTCATTGGCAATAACCTGCCTTCTCCCTCCATAAGAAACCTAGCACCTGAGATTATAGAATGCACCTAATAATATATTTCCA